GGTTTAGTGTTAAGGGCAGAGGATTTGACGCTTAGGGTTGATGATTTACACGTTGGGTAGTTATGTGAGGCTGTAAGTCAGTACCTTCGGTCTTGCTGTCGCCGTACTTAGTCGCCTCTGGGGTACCAAAGACCTTCAAGTGGTTTCTTATGGGTTCCTTCAAGGGATCCTTTAAGAGATCTTTCAGTGATCTATAAGGGTTTAGGATTTGGCGTGTAGGGTTCGAGGGTACAACCTCGAACCCCAAAACCCTGAACCCTAGACTTGCTTAGAAGATCTTCTGCAAGCCTCCGAGGTGAGGTTCCAGATTGCAGGTCTGCTGGCTTGGGATACAGTAGCCCCATGGGTTGCAATCATCAAGTCTGACACAAACCAAACTCCACGAGCTTCGAACTCCAATCTCGGCGAAGGCTTTCTGAAGAAATGGCGGCTCACTGCGAGCCACTTTTCCGTGGATTCCACTTCGTCTTCGAGACCTTGGCCATTTGCTGGGTTGGCCAATCTTAAGGTCCATGAAAGTCAGATTTCGGGTTGCAGATGCCCCTAAACCCTAAACCCTAATTACTAAACCCTAAGCCCTCATGACTAACCCTAAACCCTAAACCCTAAACCCTTAACCCTAAACTCTAAACCCTAAACCCTAACTACTGAACCCTAAACCCTAAACCCAACTAGATCTGGGGTTTTAGGGTCCAGAGTGGTGGTTAGATCCAGGAGGAGTCTCGGGTTAAGTTAAAGTTTTTAATTATCCAATGAATGGTTACCCATACTATTTTGGGTTTGGGGTTTAGGGTTTAGAGAATAGGGTTCCTTGATATAACTGTAGTATAATGGCTCCCACAGCCCTATTCTTATTATTAAGGCCTCTGCACCAAAAAACCCTTATAGTTGCCCTTATAGTAACCCTGATAGTAGCCGTTTTAAGGAACCCCTTAAAGGAAGCCTATTCTAAGTATTAAGGCCTCAACATTAGGGTTTAGGGTTGGTGAGTCGGCTCTTGTCCGTCCCAAGCCTCCAGCATCTGGAACCCTCTCTCCCACCCTGATGCCGATTAGGGTTTAGGGTTTAGGATTTAGGGTGTAGGGTTTAGGAATTAGGGTTTAGGGTTTAGGATTTAGGGGTTTAGGGCCCAAGCCCTGAACCCTAAACCCTTGTAGGACATTGTAGGATTTCAGAACGACCCACCCTAAACCCCCAAAACCCTAAACCCCAAGCCCTACACCGTAAACCTTAAACCCTTGTGGGGCATTATGGTGGGATTTCAGAACGAACCTCACAAAGCTAGAGGTGAACCTGAGACTGAACCCGCGTCTTAGCTGCTTCATGACATGGAAGTTCACCGGGTTTAGGGTTTAGGGTTTAGGCGCCATACGTGAGCAAATAACATGGGGCCTTAATCATCAAAGTAGGGCTTTGGGGCATTAGGGTTTAGGGTTTAGGGCTGGTTATATAGGGTTAAGGGGCATTATACACTATAACTACAACTCGGCAAACCCAGGGAGATCAGTACTACTTATTTAGGCCTGATCGGGCATAACCGCCAGGCTCAGCAGCAGGGTGACACCAACAAAAAGGCCTGAAGGGCTTCAGAAGCTAAGTCTTGTTTTTTTTTTTTGGGGGGGG